GACAAAATGACCCAGGGAGATGGCAGCAAATGGCAGAGAAAGCATGAGGGGTCCTAGACTAAATTGGCTGATGAGATACTTGTACCCAGGGAGGGGCAGGACAGCTGCCTCAGGGTCTCAGCTGATGCGGGACACATCCAGGCTGGGGTGGGAACCTGCAAGAGGCTTTGAGTTCTGCCTGTGCCCCGAGTAGCCCAGTGGCAGGCATGAGACTGAAGGAGGTGGGACAGCAGACAGTTTGGGCCCCCCCGGTAGCCAAAATGTGGCTTTGGCATTGCCTGGCTGGTGGGTATGGGACAGGATCACAGCTCTGTGCCAAGAACCTGGGACAGGTGGGGAAGGGGAACCAGATGCCTTGGAGCCCTGCTGCGATGGTTAATCCTTCTGCCATGGAGCCCAGCAGAGCGGAGGGAGGGCCAGGGCTGCCTAGGCTGGGGCATTACTTCCAGCCTGCTGATTGCTGAGCATGGAGGTTACACTGTTCTGTGTCCCCTGCCTGTCTCACGGTCCTGTGTCACCCCTGAGGACTAAGCTTCATGGGGGACAGCCAGGCAGCACCAAGCTGTAGCCCAGAGCAGTCATGGGGAGCCTGCCCCAGGGAGTGAGTGCCCCCCGGGCTGGACCGGGTGCCACTCCCTCATCAGAAGTCCTGCATTAGAGCGTAATCTGGCATTAGTGCATTAATCCAGTCCTCTCTGCTGCCCAGCCCCTGCCCTCAGCAGAGCCTGGCCCAAGGTCTCAGTGTACAGCCGGGCAGGAGCGGCACCAGGACACTCTCCCTGGCAGCCCTTGCCTCGGCACCAGCGAGGAGACGGCAGCAGGGGCAAGGTTTGGGGCTCCATCCAGAGCATCCTTGTGTCTGGGGAGGGCAGCGAGCAGGGAAGAAACCCAAAGTGCACAAAGCTCCTCCCAGGTGCATCCAGGACCTGGGGAAAGAGAAGTCCAGGCCAGGGGGGTTTATGGTGGCGGTACGGCCCCAGCCCCAAGCACGTTGGCAAGGGAGAAAGCAGCACCTTTTGGAAGCATCACAGTTGGTTCCTTGGAAGGGCTTCCAGAGGGGTGTTGGAGCCTGACTACCTGCACCTGTGGGCTCCGGCTCAGCGACACTGAGTCACGAAGCACGTTGCAGGGAGCCATGCCAAGGGATGGTGGTGTCTGGAGAGAGGATGTGAGTCAGCAGGTTGGAGGGGGGGGGTGGTGGTGAGCAGAGGAGCCAGCGCAGTGGGGGTGCGGAGAGGAGGAAATAGGTGGGAATTGGGAGAGGTGGAGGGGCAGCAGGGGTGGGCAGGGAGGCAGCCCCATGTTCCCTGGGGCAGACGTGACCTGGCTGTGCTGCAAAGGCTCTTCCCAGCGTGAGAAATTAAGCAAGTGGTGACGTGGCTCTGCTAAAATAGGAGAGGGGCTACTCCATCCCCTCTCTGATCCTTTACTGTGGGGCTGGGAGGCTTTGGGGGAGTTGGAGGAGTCCCCCACCATCCTGGCAAGAGGCTGAGGCCAGGACAGGGCTCAATCCTGCCCTCTTGCTGGCTAAGCAAAGACAGAGACAAAGATACTTTTTTTTTTTTTTTAAAGTAGGAAAAAAACCATCTGCCTTTAATGAAAAGGCAGAAGAAGCTGCCAGGCCACGTGCTCTGCTCCTTCGCTCTTCCCAGCGCAGGCTGAGGCCTTTCGGGACCTCATTCCCCCATCTAACCCTGGGCAGGGCACCTGAGGACTCCCTGCAGGTAGGTCTGGAGCCCACGGGTGCACTGGGCCCATGCACCCTGCTGCCAGACACCTAGGACAGGCTCCCCACCCCGCTGGTGCACCCCAGTGCCAGGGATAGTGTGCCCCCATCAGCCCCCCGGGCTGGGCACCCCTGGTCAAGGGCAGGGACAATGCTCCGCCAGGAGCCATGCCGGGCTCGGCCCTGCTCACCCATTGGCAGGATTTTGCTGCAGTCTGCTCCAAGCTGTCGGTTTTGGTGACTGAAGAAAGTAGTGCTGCTGGCAGGCTGGGTCAGATGGGGCTCTGGGGACGGGGGAGGCTGGGTTGGGTGGAAGGTGATGCTCTGCCCTCAGCTCCGGTAAGCACAACATGGAGGGGGGGTGTCTGCTCCCAGTGGGCCCTGGGGATGGGAGCATCCCGAGTTGCCATGGTGACACTGGCTGCATCCTCAGGCAGACAAGAGCATCGCTGGTGTAGTCCTGCATCGGTGTCCCCGACCTTCCCTCCTGGCTGTCATCCCAGGGGAGTGCAGGGCTGGTTCCCAGCTTTTGGGGTGGCACTTTGGGGTCAGAGCAGGGGGACTGTGCCAGTAAGCTCAGCCAGAGCAAAGCAAAACCTCAGCTGCAGCCTGTTGCATGGAGGGTGTGTGGTGGTCCTCCCTCTCACAGAAAAGTAACTCCTCTCCTTCTGCAGCATGTCTGGCCTCTGAACCAGTAGGGACCTGGATTGCAGAGCTGAGAATGAGGAGGGAACTGGGCTCACCTGGGCTTCCCTGGTGCAGGCACTGGCAGAGGGACAGGAGGGATAGGAGCAGGATGGTGGTGGGGGGAGCTACTAGCGATCCACATCCCTTAATCTGTGTCCTGCCCTGCGTCATGCAGTTACCTAAGCCCCAAAGCAGGCTGCCCTGGCAGGGGCACAGCTCCCTGCCCCAGCTCTGAGGGAGCCAGCTGTGGCCAGCCCCCCATTTTGCTCTTGCAAGGCCAAGCTTGGGGGGGGGTGTGGGGTGTGGTATCTCCAGCCTGAGTGCTGGTTGCATGGGGGTAACTGCTCCATTTCCCCCCACTTCACCCTCTGCCATCCTTGGGGACCAGGCTGTGCAATGCTGAGGGACCCCCGCTGGGAGGGACGCCCTCAATCCCTGCAGCTCCTTTCTCATACTTGGGCTCCCTGCTGGCAGCATCAGACCCCCCCCACACCCTGTAGCCTGAGCCATCCCCAGAGGAGACACTGACATCAGATCCCCCTCCCTTAAGCTGATTAGGGCAGTGAGGATGTGTCTGAGCAGATGCCGTGAAGGCCATGAGAGTGACCAGACCCTGGAGGGACACAGAGGGGGCAGCATGCAGCGCCCACATCTGGGGACTGCTTTAACCTGGGGGGCACAGGGAGAGGGCTGGGGGCTGACCACCCCCTCCATGGGCTGGGTAATTGCATGGCACGCCCCTATACAGCCAGTCTGATCCCTGCTATAAGCCTGGCCCCAAGCCCTGGCACCGTGGACCTCCGATGGGGGTGGGATGGGGAGCACAGCCCCAGGGAGGGGGGCAGGCAGAAGGCAGCCCTTGAGCCCACACCAGCCACCACGGACACCAGTGGATCCTTGGGCATGTTCCTGAAGCTGGGCAAGCAGTGCTTCCCTGCTCACCCCTGCATCTATGTCACATGTGAGCCTAGCCCCACGGCTTGGAACCTCCCCGCTCCTGGCACAGTGCAGCCCAGCAGGGACATCTGGGCTGTGCCGGGCCCAGTGCATTGCCCCGAGTTGGTTGCACAGAGCTCTGTGGGTCATGAGAGATCTGGCTCCTGGCATCCCAAATTCCCCTGGATGATGGCAGGGTGGCAGATATCCTGCCAGGCCAACTGCGTCTCCTCCTTGCCTCCAGCTGCCACATCCCCTTGCCAGCCTGGGAACAGGGTATGTGGCTTCACTGGAGGGGTGTCTCAAGAAGCCCAGGGGTTTCCAGCTCTGCCCTGTCTCTTGGGGGCTGTAAGAGCCAGAGGTGATGCCTGGAGAAAAGGTGATGCAGCAGGGTGGCCACATCCTCCCCACCCCAACCCTGCAGGTGCTCTGACTCAGACAGGAGAGGATTTGCTGGGTGGTTTCCCTTCTCACCAGCTCCCTGCAGACATGAGAGGACACAGGTCACAGCACCTCTCTGTTTTATTGAAGACCAATCCCTCCCCCCAGCCAGCGCAGAGCCCAGCATGCCCATCTTCTGCATCCACTGGGCCAAAGTCCTGCTCCGGAGGATGGGGGCACCTCCCTGGACACAGGGGCAGGGACCCAGGGCTCCCCCTCTGTGCCCAGGGCTCCCAGCCCTGCTGTCATCCCTTTCCCTGTTCCACCTCCAACCCAGCCTTGTTCCTGGGGATGTCCCCAGCCATGGAGGGTGTCCCACCAAGTCCTGCATGTGAGGGGCTAAAGCCACAGTAAAACTGAAGCATTAAACTTCGAAGTAATCAGCAGGACATGGGCTCATGTGCAGGGCTTCAGGGACCATCCCACTCTGTGGCATGGTCCTTGGGTACTGGAGAGAGGGCAGAGTTGCAGGGGCCAGGCTCTGCTGCCTCCAGGCTCTGGCCTTGCCCTGAGGGCTGGCAGTGCCCCTCACACCTGCCCCTGGCACCTCCAACAGCAAAGCCCTGCCCTGGGCAGGAGTTAACCCATGAAGGCCATCTGCTCTCCAGACCAAGGCTTCTCCTGAGGTCTGGAGGAAGCCACCATTGGCAGGAGGTGTAGGAGGGATGGAGGAAAGGAAGGCTTTGGAGGCAAAGGTGGGGAACCAAGGAGTAGCAAGGAGAGTCCCCTTTCCCTGCCCCTGCCCAGTGGGACCCTCACCCATGGACACAGCTGCCCTGGGGCCCCAGCTCCTGATTCCTCTCTGCAGAGAGAGGGGAGGGCAGGCACAGGCTGGGGGCAGAGTTAAGGATGTTCATGGGGTGGGCAGCATGTTGCAAAGGAAAGGGGGGCATGGTCCCTGCCAGGAGGAGAGCCCATGGTTTTTCCTTCCATTCACACCCTGCTTTAGGTATCCACATCTGTTCCCAGGATCATGGATCCCTCCTCACCCTAAACTTAGATGGCGTCTCCCCTCCAGCCACCCACATCAGGAAACCAACCCAGCTACCCTGCAAGCACCCCTCACCCCCCCACGCAACTCTCCAAATCTAAAAGGGGGCAACTGAGAGCAGGGCATGATCCCACCCACCCATCCCTCCCTGCTGAGCTCCCTAGCTCCACAGCCCCATGCTGCCGGGGATGGAGAGGTCCGCCTGGCGCGGCCGAGCCTCTAATGGTAATGGTTATTCATGTTGTTGAGGTGGGAGGCTGCCATGGCACTGAACGGGGCAGAGGGCTGGAGCCCGTGCCCGGGGTAGAGGGATGGGCTGGAGCCAGGCCAGTAGGAGAAGCCAGCCGGCGTCACCCCCGAGGTCATGAGGTTGAGTTTGGAGATGCCCGAGAAGGGCAGCGGGGCCAGGTTGCCCTGAAATTTGTAGAGGGTGTGATCGGGGGCGGACGGCTGGCACACCTGCGCCAGCCCGTGGAAGTCGAACTTGTAGGCGTAACGCTTGCCGTGGACCTTGGTCATGATGTTCTTATCATAGTAGTAGCGCAGTGCCCGGCTCAGCTTGTCGTAATTCATGTTGGGTTTGCTCTTCCGCTCGCCCCAGCGCCGTGCCACCTCATCGGGGTCGATCAGCTTGAACTCCCCGTTTGTGCCTTCCCAGGCGATGCAGTTCAGGTTGGCCCGGTCGGAGAGCAGCTCCAGCAGGAACTGCCACAGCTGGATCTGCCCGCTGCCTGCAAGGCCGGGCCCCAGAGAGGTTAAAGCTCCTTTTCAGGGCACAAGGAGCGAGGCAGGATGCACCCCAGTCTTCTCAACCCTCTGCTATGTTGCCCCCTCCCACACCCAGGTATCAGATGCACCTCACTGCATCTTCCCTGCTCTAGAGACACAGAAGATGGTAATGAGGGCTTGTCTCCTTTGCAGCATCCCTACCCAATCCTGACCCCCAAGCAAGAGGAGGAGAGGAAGCCCCTGTACATCTGGACAGGGGTAGGAATGCTCAGAGGTCAATGCAGGCTGCAGTGGGTCTGGATCCAGGGTCCCCATGTCCCTCCCACCCTAATTCATACCCCACTGAAGATGAATACCTGCTCATTTGCTTTGGCGTGAGGTTCTGGCCTGGTTCTTTCATCTGCAACCCCAAGAAGGAGGTATCTTGGCAGTACCCAGATCCATCCCAGCACCAATATTCCCCACTGCCACCTCTGCTTCAAACTGGGCTAGAGACACAGCACAGCCCTTGCCCATCTCTAGGGGCACTGTGCCCTGCAAGGATGTCTCCGTGGTGAGCTGAAGTCAGGGTGCAACACTGCTCTGACCTGCACCCCTGGTGGGTGCAGGCAGGTATAGGGGAAGAGAGACCACAACAGGGCAGGACCTGCTGTGGCTTTGAATCAGGCACCAATGTTCCTTATTTCCAGAGGAAAACTGTCCTCTCTGAGCCATGGCCATTGCCCCCACAGCTTGCACCCTTGGTGTGTGCCCAAGATGCCTCTGTGCCAGGCTGTGCACACACAGGAGCCTGACACACCTGGACATGCTTTTCTGCCACTATTTTTTTCTAAAGGTGCTTGGATCCCATATAGAGGTTTAGCACCCACGACCCCTGCAGCAGGCAGTCCCACACCTCAGCTACATTTCCCACAAAGAATCACCTTGTCCCGCTTGCTTTGCACCAACCTATTTTATCTGGTGCCCCCCAGTTCTTGCTCTGGACGAAGCAAGGAAGAGCCATGCCCAATCTGTCCCCATTCCACCGAACCCTGCTCAGACATCCTGATCCAGGCAGATCAGCCCAGATCTTTTCAAGGTATTGTATTTCCAAATCCCCCATCCTGGGACTGAGGTGGGGGATCTCCCCTCCCTAAGGTACAGCCACAGCCCTTACCTCTTCTCCATCCCTGCAGCCCCCCGCCCCGGGCTC